TAGCGATGCCAGGAGCCCCTAGTAGCGTCCTTGCTCCTAGTAGCGATTTCGACAAAGAATTCAGCTTCCTGTTTGTTTGCAAACTTCTTGCCAAGGATGGACCGGACTTTTTCACTCCGCGGCTGGGACTCCGGACGAGGTTTCGAAAAGACCAGAAGCAAAGCCAAAACAAACAGTTGAAAGAATCAGGCCAAGGAAATACTGTCCAGGAATATTCGACCCATTTGTTGTTGGTGAAGTTCCAGCTTTCTTTCGTGTGTCGACAATCCGCAGTTGTGTGACGCACTTGTCAGGCAAAACCCGGGGCTGATCCTTTTGATTGGGCAGCACGGCGAAAAATCAAAAGCATCAGACTTTGAGAGTAGGAGCAAGAAGCTACTAGGGGCTCCTGGCCTTTCTACTAGGAGCAAGGAGGCTACTAGGGGCTCCTGGCCTTGCTACTAGTAGCAAGAAGCTAGTTTAGTGTTTGAGGTCTCACAGCACTTTGGTTTGCCCCAGTGGAGGGTCCTTGCTTTGAGGACAGTGAAACGAACTGGAAGGACATGCTGCTGTTGGACAGCCGTCTTAGCGAGGAGGCGAACAGCATCAGAAAGTTTAGTGTTCCAAGTTCCAACCAATTCATTGTCAGAGGGTAGATTTTCAACTCCAAACTCGCAAATGATGGACAAGTGCAGGAGAGAATGATCAGGGATGCTGCTAAGCACTTTGCAGAGTCGGAGCTGATGCCCAAGGTTCGGAGGCCAAAGAAAGACAGAGTTTCAACATGTTCCCAGCTTGGGTTGGGGAAGGCCCTCTTCTTTTAACACACACGTTTGATTTGGTGTTTCTCCGTATTGCTTGAACACCTATTATGTTGACACAGATGTTCGCCAAACGCACGCCTGCTTCGTATCAAATTGTCAAATGCATTTCACAGATCCTCCGCAAAACAACTGCAACACAACTGCAAACTTTATCACTCCTATCCGCGACCAGAAGGTTGCGAAATGTGTGTTTGGACAACTTTTGGGGTGGGTTTGTGCTTATTGCGTTACTTGTGGTTCCTTGCAAACACCGATTTCTCAGCGAGTTACGTTCTCATGCCTTCAAGCAGAGACAGCAATAAGGTTTTGGCGTAATATATTCATAGAGAGGAGGCCCTGGAATGTTCAAGGTCTTGCGTGGCTTTCGGGAGGAGCACTTTGACAAGGGCATCTTTCAGGCAAAGCAGGAATGATGTCCACCGGTTTCAGCATCCCAAACAGACCGGCAAGCCGACCAAGTGGTCGCAACAGGCCATGGGACATGCCGGGCTTTTGGGCTCATTCATCAGTGGCAGTGACCCTCAGTGATCCTAGCATTTGGCGCCACCAATTCCCGCTTTCTCTAGGCTATGGATGTGCTGGGGCTTCTGCAACTGCATATGGGCTGATTGCCCGTGAGGATAGAAGCTCAGCAGTTGATCATGTGGATCGGATCTTGCTCTTGTTGACGTCTTGAAATCTGACAGCCCAGGTTGAGAGGATCGATTCAGCATATCGATCTACTCTTTCAGTGCAGTCATCCTTGGTTTGCCCCTCAGCTGGTTTGAGGTTTGAGGCTGTGCCTTGAATTAGCAAGATTTGATCACAGGATTTCAGAGCCGAAGGAGGGAGGGTGGGTCTTGAGGAGGCTAACAAGTGAGGGCCTCCAACCTACTAGCGATGGCATCCAACCTATCAGAGCGATGGCCTCCAAGCCAACAAAAGCTTAAGTAACTTATAAGTAGTTTGGAGTTTTCGGGAAACACGTGTCAGGGTTTCTTTGTTTGCGACAAGTCTTTCATCAGGTCATGCACCCGATCAATTTGTTTGGATCTCAGGCGCACAAGACGCAAACCCAGAAAGTATGACCTTAACCTTCTTGCTCCAAATCAAACGGGATAGGCTAATTAAGAGGAGTGCTCCACCAAAGAAGGAGCAGAAGGAGCGCTTTCTTCCAAAGTTGGCTAGCGGAGATTTGATTGGTTGAGACCTTGGAGCTGTATTCAAGCGATCTTACCAGCCATTCCAAACATGCAAAGTTGCACATATGCAGCAACATGTCTTGCAAGAAAACACAAGGCAGTCCTGAAAGCACAGGCTGCTTTGGGCTGACTGAACCAGATCATGGCGAAGCTCTCAGTCTCTGAAATCACATCGGCTTACGAAAACTTGTTTAGGACAGAAAGACTCAGTGAGACCCTGTCGGATGTAATACACCTGATTGTGAAAAGGATTATAACTTATATTGTGAATTTCGACCTGTGTGGCATGAAGTCGTCTATGCGTTTGTCGCCTTCAAGGTTCTGACCCCAGCGGCATGACGACTCGAGCAGTTGAAAAGGCCTGCATGGCTTTGAAGGTCACAAGAGGGACTGCTCTGCTTGACCTGGCACTGCTTGACCAAGTCTTTACAGAACACAAAGGCAAAAGGACCAAGTCGATAGACTGTCAAAAGCAACGCTTTTTCGCTTTGCGCTCCTTCCACCAGTCTCTCGGTGGAACGCGGACCGTGCTGCATGGATGGACTATTGGCTGTTTTGCTGTCTGAGGGAGATCACTATTTGCTTTCGGGTGCCAAGAACTGGATCACCAATTCTCCCATCGCTGACCTTTGTCTGGTCGTCCTCTGAGAGTCCAACGATGGTCTGGTTGCGATGGGTCCAACTCTCATTCAAAACCAGGTCTGGGCGAAAACAGAAAGCGCGGGAAAGGCGCGGTCGGACAGAGGAAACCCAGTGGCTTGCCACCGGCTGAACCACTTAAGGTTCGGGGTTTCCTCCTTGAGCGGGGAATGGAGGCAGGGCATTTCTTAGCAAACTTGGATTTTCGCGAGCAACTCAGTTGAAATTGCCTGGTAGGGCTTGTCTACTCCAAAGATTGAGGGCAAGTTCTCTTTGAGGGCCTCGCCCACGGTCTTTGCCTTGGAGCACAGTGAGAGCTTGCTCACCCATGACACCTGAATGTGCAGCTGTACCATAATTTTCCTGAAAGAAGTGCTTTGTTCATTGCTCAGGGCATGATTCAAATGGATGACGTCAAAGTGCCAAAGGAGAACGTTCTGCTGCGAGCCCAATGACTCCTTTTCTAATGGAGAATGTTCAAGTCGTAGGGCTGATTCTTAGGCCGAAGGTGGTTGGGATGCGAGGGCCCTTTGCGTGCTTGAACTCTGCACGACTTGGTGCGCAGATGCGTTTTGCAGTGTTTTGCTATCTTGATGTATTTTGAACACCAAGTGTGTTGTGTAGGAGGTGTCCTTGGTTACCTTTGGTCGTCTTGCCGTGGGATTTCTTTCCGTGAGGCATTGCCTGGGGTGCTTGGGGTGCTGCCGAATTTTGCCTCGAGAGCGCAAGGCAGGGACAAAGTCAGACAAAGAGTGAAAAGAGTGATGCTAAGTCTTTTGTTTGGGGGGCTTGCTTCTTGGAATGTGTGTCTTAATGTCTAATCTTGGTAGCTTGGTCCATCTCTGCATGTTGGCAGGCAATACACCCTGGATCGCAAACAGTTTGGACGGCCGTTGGCTTCCAACCAACTGGTACGCTTCCGCTGGACTCGACAGATGGTAAGGTTGTGAACGGAATTTTCAACATTGGAGTTGAAGAAACAAGACGATAACCAGAGCGTTCGACGTTTTCACTTTTCGAGAGAACTGGGACTTGTTGAGCATGTTTTGGACTTTTCCGCAGCTTTTCACCTCTTGGATGTATTTTTTAAGTATCACTCTTCAACCTCGCCAGAGAATATGAGTGTGAAAGTGAAAGCAGCGCATGATTCTTTCTACAGATCGTGCAGGGCATGAAAGCCAGAGCACGTGCGCGACGCCAGCAACATGCGTGACGTGCACGTGTCACATGTGCCGTGTCGCGAAGGGGTGTGGTCAGCTCCGATGTGATATTATGACTAAGATCTCGCATAGCTAGAAGCTACCAGTAGCAAGGGCATCGCTACTAGTAACAAGGACGCTACTAGGAACAAAGGGCATCGATACGAACGGAGCAAGAAGGCAAATGCCCAAATCACTTCCAAAGGCTCAGGGCTCATCTATTCCCTCAAAGCTCAACTGGGTGGCCGACTTATCACTCACAGCGATAGCTCACACTGAGCTGCACCACCGCACAACTCATTCTTCATCGAAAGAGTCACAGTCCGCTTCACCTAAATGCCTGTCATTCTTGTCAGTTTCTCACTTTCTTCGCAACGCACGCAGCCAGCTTGATTTTTGCTCAAGATCGCACTTACACCTGAACTTCCTTGTGCTACCATGGCGGAGGTGCTCTGTTTGGAAGTTCAATTTTGATTGTCAAGTGGACTGCCTGAGCGTGAAACGCCAGGAATGCCAGGTGGAAGAATACGAGAAAGGGTACGGGTCAGGACCGCATGGGACCAGAGAGGTGAACTTCTGTTGCTTGGCGCAAGTGAGGCATTTGAAGTCTTAAGTCAAACATGATTTGAGCACGAGGTGCATGCGCTGCATGCGCCCAGATGTCAAGAGACATTTCTATACTTTGTATCGTATGTTTTCTCATGTTTTCTCCGCAAATCCTTCACGACACAGGTTCAGTCCGATTCAACCCGGTGGTATCCTTCCTCTCTGCTGTTTGCCTATGGGGCTTTGTCATCTACTGTGTGACGGACGATGAATCGAATGATGTCTTCGGCGAGTGGAAGACATGGGTAACAAACACTTTCACATGGCTCTACATTGGCTCTCAGGACATCGTTTGTCTCCGCTTGTTTTGACGTGCTCACACTTCAATAGCTTTGCTTCTTCGTTCTCTGGTGATGCAAAACAAGTCAAAGAACATAAAGAGCAATTCTTCCCCATTTGCGGAAAGTCGCTACCAGTATATAGATGCCCCAGCCTCGATAGAGTGGACTTAACAAAAGCTTGTCATCTCACAACATTGTCTTTGCCAAAAACCACATACTCGCTCCACTTCAAAACTGACACCTAGTAGGATTTGGAAGGATGGACCCAGCGATGACCGGCTACTGGCGAAATATTGAGACAAATAATGCTGAAAATGCGTAGCATTGTGTTTAGCAACTTCGGCATCATCAAAAGTATGTTTATCACACCGCCCCTATCACCCACCGAAAGGAGCTAGAACAGGACTACTGTCAGAAGGTATGGTATTGAAAAAGAACGGTTTGTAGTAACAAGAAGCTTCTAGTAACAAAGGGCATCGCTACCAGGAGCAAGGATGCTACTAGGGGCTCCTGGCCTTACTACTAGGAACAAGGACGCTACTAGG